TTTGCATATACATTTTCGAGATGCCCAATAACTTTAATTTGGAATGTTTCTGGACATGGGATCACAAAACAGTCAATCTATCAGTCAGTCAATCAGTCAGTCTGTCAATCACTCAATCAGGACAAACACTTTAATATATTTGCATATAGTTCTAAGTGCACGATAAGTTTAATTTGGAAAGCATCTTGTGGCGTTCACTTTAATCGAATCACATCTTGAGCTCCTTCCGTTTGGGTAACCCAGCGAAGGGGCGACGGCTGGGTCGGGTTCGTCCCATTGTTGGGACCATTTGGAGCGGACACCGTTTGTGGTTTTCATAATTTTAACGACCTATTTCGTGGGAAAACTGTGTCGCCGGCTTTTTGGCCAGGTGCGGACCGATGGTGGGCCAAGCAACAGAAGTGGAAGTTTTAATTTCAATTTTTTATTGCATGAAATGGGTTTGTGCCACCTTTTCGCGGCAAGTTTTTTGCGCAGCTTTAAATGCTGCAATGAAAATGTTTCTCGACACTCAACTGCCGACTTTCGGTAATCTCCTGGCCCTGTTTTTGTCCCTGTCCGCGGGCAACATTTATTGGCTTGGCGACAAATTTTTATTGCCCAGTTTTAGTTTTGGTCTGCGGCTACGGCTGCATATGGCGCTGATTTCTTGTCACCAACTGCCTGCCCGTCCGGCGTCTCGTCTCGGCTCTCCACTTGGACAAAAGTTTTCGCCATGCTCAGACTGCGGGTCTAATCATATTGCCAGGCGATGTGGCCAACCTTCGGGTTACGTGATGCATTTTTACAAGACCCCGGCCACGGAGTCAGTCAGACACGGGCTCTGGCTATATAGTTCGACTCGCCTGACTGCTCACAATTTGACTTTTGATGTGGGTATCTGTGATTGCATATGTGCGTGTGTGTGTGTGTGTGTGTGTAAGCTAGTGTGTGTGTGTTTTTTGGCACGCCCCGTCGGCACAATGGGCTGCTGGGAAACTTTGTGCTTCAAAAGTGTTTTGATATTGATAAAGAATAGAACTTGTTCAGAAAACAATTTTGAAGATAATTTCGAATGTGGATACCCTGCTGATAAAGTGCTAAAGGGTATATTAGTTGTGTGGATAGGAAAGAAGGCAAGAAGCCTGTGAGTCGAATCTTTCCACAGAAGGAACTCTTCTACTATCTAGTTGATAAATAAGAAAGTTATAAGTATCAAGATCTTAGACCACGCCCATTAGAGGGCGGGCTGATTGCGAAGATTACACACATATGACCCCTTCTCAGAAGTGGACTCTGATGTTATCCTTCTAAGAGGTTCCAGCCCATAAAAGTGATCAAAAATATAATTCCTAAAGTCATAGTTGGAAATGCGCTGCTTCGGTCTTACAGTTTTAAAGTCGCTCATTTAATGATTAAAAAAACCTCTTTTCGAACTGTTTTCACACTAAGCTGTGAACAGATTTGAACCAGCAACCTTTAATTTAGTTGCTTGAATCGCTCCTCACTTGGCCTGCTCATTTAGTGAGTACGGCACTCAGGAATTTTATATCCACTCTATATATGCACGTACGCTACAAGAAATTACCCGGCATTGCCTGGATCGAATGCCTAAAATACAAGTGGGATCTATCAGCTATATTTTCTATCTATTTACATCTAAGCCGATTTAATTTTCATTTTCAATCGATTCTTGGCCAATCTTGGTCCATTGTGCGGCGGATTCGCTTGGCGCATTCGACATGTCAGAATTTGTGGATATTCTGTTTAAATACCGTAATGAAGTCTGCTTATACAATATAATGTACCGTGTTTGTGCTACGTGCCTTGGTTATGTTATTGCACGCTAAAACCCAGCTTCCGCTCAGCATCCGCCAACGGCGTCGAAGCGAGGAGCGCTGACGGGGGCTTCGGCTGGAGGAGGGGCCAAATCTGCCGGCTCTGGTTGTGTTTTTATTTGTGTGCCGGCAAATCTTAAACTTGTTTTACTGCTCGTTAGTGTTAGTCGCGCACTTGGAGCAGGGTGGAGGGATGGCAAGTGATGGGGTTGGTATAGGGGATATTGCCAGCATGACACCCTATTGTTATAACACGTACCACGACCCAGTCAGGATGAGGCTGAGCACGGGGCTTGGGGTTAAATGGAGTTGGAGATGGAGACTGACAGCGAGACGGCGGCTGTTGAAGTCTGTGTTTGGCAACCAGGCACTGGAGTACACTAAAACTAGTCGAGCTCTGCGCCAAGGATGGGGACTGTTTGTGTGTGTGTCTGTGTGTGTTTATGCGTGTGCCAAGGTGCATGCTAAGTGCCACATCCTGGCAGAGGATAATGTGGAGTGGGTCAGGATGGGGCAACTCTCCAGCTCTAGCCTCTATCGCTTGGCTCTGCTGGTAAATGTTTGTCCAGCATAATTGCGCTCAGCATGCACTTTTCCCCGCCACCTGCCTCTACCCTCTCCCCTCTACAGCTCGAGCTGTTTTATCGTTTCCGAGTTTGGCTTTGCTTTTCAATTTTGCCGCATGCGGCCTGCTTTAGGCTCCGTTGTCGGTGTCGGCTGCTTTAAAGGATTTGGAACTTGTTTACGTGGCGTATTAATAATAATTTCGAACGGAAGCCATCAAAGGATCTGATGCGCCGCAGGCGGCATTGCAAATTATTTTCATATTCCGCCTGGGCTAACTAATACATCAACAGGCCCACAAATTGTTGGTGTCTCCCAGTCAAGAGTCTGTGTATAAATGAAATATATGCTAAAATGTTTATGCATTTAGCCAGCTCAATTTATGATAAATGGCGCTCTGTTCTTGTGCTCGAACTACTCGTAAAGAGTTGACTAACTCTTCAGTCGAATTTCATTTCACTCGCCAGCTGAAGCCTTAAAGAAACTCAGCGCAGACACAAGAGAGTTCTGCGAAGAAGGTTTTTTATAGTTTAACTATTGCTTCTATAAATTTATATATGCACATCAAATAGTTTATGCTTTGCAAATGTCACGTCTGACTCTTAAGCAGCAGGTCGCCGGCTCAAACTCAGCAGCAATTCTCTAGATTTATAGTTCTTTTATAATAGATGACAAATTTGGGTAGCTTTTTATATATACATGAAGTTGCAGCGAATTAAACAAACGATTTTAGCGCATCTTGCATTTATATCATGCTTCCATTTGAAACGGGCAACGCCGGGCAACTTTCCTTCGGCACATTCGAATCTTATTTAAAGGCTAAAGAGTTGATTTTTACGACTTGAGATTCTGGAAATAGTTTATATAGAGAGAAGAGATTTACTGGGAAACCAGCCACATATATGTTTCATTATATGTTCTAGTTCTTTTTACGCTTCTTCAAGTTTCTTTTATCTGCGGCACTTTAAACACTTCTTGAATAGCACAAATGATTATTTTGCAATCAGCTTACAATACAAATATGTTCTGGAATTCCCAATCGAGTCGTCCAAACAGTTCGCCAGGGTGTTAAATCTCCGGCAAGTGGAAGACAATTTTGTGCTCCAATACTGAGATTTTCACAATTGTCCAAGCAAACGCTGCGACTGGCCATGACAATTACAGTTTCGTGTTTAACCATAATAATCTGTTCAGTTATTTGTGTAATTAAACAAGCAATAAACCCCAGTGGAAGCCCGGCCGAGAATACCGTAAAACCCCAAAGTCGAAACCACTTTGGGTTTGGGCTCTTGTTTGTTTGTTTGTTTGTTGTTTGTTAAATGTTATTATTGCTGCTGCTGCTGCTGCTGCTGATGCTCCTGATGTAGCCGCAATTGTTGTTTGCGCATTGGATGAGATTTAAAATGGTTTAATCAACTAACTGTCTATATATGAATAGCTACATCTACATGTGTCTGTGTGTGTGTGTGTTTAAATATTTGGCATGATGTGCAAAGTGTTTTTAGTTGAGTTTGCGGCTAAAGTTTGCAAAACTTTGCGCAATTTTGCGGCTATTTTGTGAAAATGTAATCAACATTTTCCTTTATACGCTCAAATATCCAATAAACGTAAGCGCAGCAACTATTTATACCCTATCAAATGAGCTCGTTTCGAAAAGGGGCAAGGAGACACATCGTAAAAGGCGCAAGTCAGCAGCTCGGTCTGCAGTAGATATATATTCTTGATCGGAATGAGTTGATCTGGAGAAGTTCCTTTATTTATTTAGCCATTTATTAATGGCGTGCCTGCCTAATAATTGAATATGCCCCTCTTCTAGCTAATGTTAAGGGTGACATTACTTGAGCCTACAGCTAAAAAGGAATTTTTTTTGTAGAGAAAAAACTGTTCTTAAGTAAAAATTAAAAATAATCTTAATTTGCATAACTACTTGGAAGAAATTTATATTAGATATATAGAGTGTTAAGTAGATAGGATAAAGCGATAGCGATGGGAAATTATCGACCCGGTGGGGGAAATTTATAGTCTCTCCGGCAAGCCATGAGCTCTACTCATAGCTGGAAATGGTCAGTGAGTTTCCGAAGGTATCCTGAAAGCAGCGATTTTATTAGGGAAAGATAAAGTTCCGTGAAAAAGCCGCAATACAAACTATTGTAATTTTTGCCTAAAAATGTTGGATGCATTTCTCTTGGCATGTTAACTCGAAGAGATTTGATTTAATGGGATTTAAAGAATTACTTTATGTTCATTTTTGAATACCCTTGATACTCAATTTACATTTATTTGTAAGAAAAGCATTCTGCATATTTAGTTTAAAGCACATTTGAGCTCCGATCGGACTATATGTACCGAAGTTAAACAAACGCAAATATTGTGTATGTTAAAGGCAGTTTATTGCAGGGTAACTGGCAGTCGAGCACACCCGACTGGCGTACACTTAACAGCCATAAACTATTAATGTTAAGATTCTAAAGAATTTCGAACAATAGTTTCGTCTCGTTTCGTTTTAATAACTCAATTAAAATGCAATTTAACGAGTAATTAATATATATATATATTTATTCATTTATTGTGTCGTTATAGGGTGTTATATATATGTGTGTGTGTGTGTATCTAAATGATTGGTATGTGTAGGTGTATTTATTGTAAATTGTGTATATATCACTTAAATTATAATTATTTAATTTGCTGGTTAATAACGCATCAATACAAATTAAGCCGCCAATTTGTTAAATGCACTTTTGCTGCATCAATTTTGATATTTCGAATGTTGTTGTTGTTCCTCCTCTTGTTCTTCCTCGAATTCCTGGCTAAGTGCGCGTCAGCATCCCATTGATCATTATGTTGGCCAGGGCGTTCCGCCTCTTGCGCCACGCCCCCATGCCCTGGGCATGATACTGCAGCTGCGTGTACCACTGTTTGGTGCGCAGCCCGTCCTCGGCCTGTCAGAGAAGAGAGAGAGAGAGGGGGAGAGGGGGAGAATATGTTGTCAAAATGTTGAAAATATTTGATTGACTCGCCATTTAGACAGGTGTCACGTGTGTCTGCTTGTGTGTGTGTGTGTGTGTGTGTGTGCTCAGTTGGCCGTAACTAAACGTTAGAATTTATGCGCCATCCTTTCAGGCCATATTTTTTCTCTTGCTTTGGCCTTCTTTTTATTCAATTTTTTTCTTGTTGTTAAATTTCAATAAATGTCATTCATTTTGGCAGGCACTCTACGTGCGCTGCCTCAACGCACTTTTAAAATCGGGGGTGTGGCCCTCCCACTTTCCCCTTTTCCCGCCCGCCTCGACCCTCGCCAGACCACTTCGCATTGCCCCAGGCCAGAATACGCACGACTGAAGCTGAAGCTACGGCTCGTTTTACATTAGACAGGATTTCAAATGGATTTCTCCATACGCTTCCAAGTGCGTGTGTGTGTGTGCGTGTGTGTGTGTGCGTGTGTGTGTGCGCGTGTGTGTGTGCGCGTGTGTGTGTGTACGTGTGTCTGTTATTAAAAATGAAATCTGTAGCATATTAAACGCGAAATATTCTGCCCCCAAGTGTATGCTACTCAACTGACAACTCTTCGCTGTGTGTGCTTTTTGTGTGTGTTTTAAATTCTAAAAATAATATTTACTTGAGGTATTCAAGCTAGCTGCTAGCTCTGCTGAAACTGAAACAAGCTGACGGCTGTCATTTGCGTAAGCTCGGGCTACAGGGTAGTCGTCAAGTTGGATATGAATTCATATATAATGCTGGTCAATCTTAAATCCTAAGAGCTAACTTCGGCACGCCGAAGATTTAATACCCTTGCAGAGCCAACAAAAGGTTGCTTTACTCGATAGGTAGATATCTTGATAAACAAAATGTTTTTGATATTGATATTGATATTGTATTCCGATCCAGGTGGATCCGATATACATATTTATTGCGTGCAACAGAGAGAGGGACGTATGCAAAGTGTCTTGACGATAGCTTAAAGAGTGAGAAACTAGTTCGCATAAAAACAGACAGACGGACGGACAGACATGTCTTAATCGACTCGGCTGTAGATACGGATCAAGAATATATACACAATATGGAGTCGTAGATGTCACCTTCTATGCATCTCACATTCCATGATAGAATTATAATTATAATTATGAAAAGAAAGTTGCGCACTGCTGCTAGATTTGAACTGGCGACCTCTCGCTCAGACACTTGGTTAAGTTCGCAATGCTTCTGTATTGTTCTTAATATTTCACCACTTGGTCTCTAGCCAGTACTCTAGCCAGATCAAATTCCTTTGTGAAAATAGATGAAGCTTTGCTAATAGCTTTCAGTTAAGCCTTCAATTAAAATGAATATCTGTGCATATCCCATAGTATACGCCTTCATACCAAGTCTAGACAAAACGTTTGCCTTCTAGTCCAGATAGTTAGTCGCCTTTTAAGAGTGTTAATTGTATTCCCACTGCTCTATTTACCTGCGAGGATCATATTGCTTGTGCACAGTGAAACTCACACCCAACTAAAGCTAAGCCCTGTAGCTGCCGGCAAAGAAGGGAAGCCCGCCAAACGGCGGGGCAAAACTAACGAAGCCCAAACATTTGCCGGTGTGCAGTCAAAAGGCAAACGGTTCCATTTAAGAGTCAAGTCAACTGGCACAGTCCACGCAAACCGAATCAAACCGAAACGAACCCGGTCTAAAAACTATGCACTCGAATGGAATGGAGAATGGAACAAGTGGCAGGGGAGAGCCAGGCAAGGCTAGGCTAGCTGGCGTCTACTCACTTTGAATATGAATGTGTCCTTCGATGAAATTTCCTGCACTTCGAAATAATCATCCCAATCCGCTTCGCTGCACACAACACATCTGTCCAGATACAAGGGCTCCCGTGTTAGCGTATACCGTCCGCACTTCTCCTTCACCAGCAGCAGCGAGGCCTCCCGAATGCCGGTGTGCTTCGGGAAATTCAGTTTATCCGACGTGGCCTTCTCTGCTCTATAATTGGCACTTGGCTGGCAAACAAAAAACAAAGAAAAAAAAAAGAAACAGAAATAGAAATAGAAAATTGTGTAAAACGAAACTAAACAAAATTACAGCTGGAAAGCGGGCAAAGTGTGTGGGCAGCACGAAAGATGGAGCCTGCCTTCAGATATCGCGAGCACACAAAGCCTGTCGGGCTGCCGGGCGGACAGTCGGGCAGTCGGACAGTCGGGCAGACAGTCGGGCTGCAACTGCCGCAGGAAGCAGCGCCCGGACCAGAACTAGATACAGCACCAAAACTACAGCCCAGCAACAAGCAGAAAAATGACAATAACAAAAAAAAAAAAAAAAAAGAAAGCTGCCTCGTTCTTGAATTGAGCAATTGTCGGCTGAGGCTTTTGCGAAAAATTTAGAGCAGGGCACAAAAACCAAACAAGTGACATACGCACTGCGTCGCCATCGATGTGCCACGCCCCCATCTACACACACGCCTGCCATTCCACTTCCCGTTGGCCTTTTGGGTTTGTGGTAGTCTGCTTGTGGGCCACTTGACGCCATCGGTTTTGTATACCCTGCATCCAATAAAAGTGGCTTGAATAGGGTATATTGCAGTTGTGCTAGTGAAACGGACAGTTCCGAGTCTATTTAGCATAAGAGTCGGAATATATTTTACTTATATCGATTGCTCTCATATTTTCTGTAAATCGATAATTATCGATGAGAGTATGTGAGTCTGTATATCTTAATCATTTTAATTAATGGGATTAACTATCGATTCAACGATAGTTTCCATATTTTCTCCAAGCCGATAAATATCGATTCGGGAATATGAGTTTTTATATTTTTGTAATTTTTATTCACGGCTCTCTGTTTCCCAAAAATCGATAAATATCTATTCGACAATGTGAGTCGGTATATCTTAATCTGCTTTTTAATAAATCGATAATTATCGATTGAGAATGTGACCATAATTTTCATTATAAATGATGTTTTTTTTTGTTTGCCAAATTTGTCATCTGCATTCGTGAATGGAAAACAAAGATGTTAAGTAAGGAAAAGAGAGTGTCCAGCTTTTTTTCTGTTTATTCTCAACATAACAGGGTATCTGCTGGACAGGCTTTGCCAAGTAGAGCACCCTCTTGCCTGTGTTATTTTTTTTTTCGTTGCTTCGACAACGAATGGAAAACTCGTTTTGTTTTTAGGCATCAAAAGCAGATAGTTGCTTGGATAAGCACTTTTCATTAGGACAGGCAGGATGCGCTTCCGTTCCACTCGATGCGTCAACGGGCCATCCCCTCCGCTCCTCCCCGCTTCCGCACGCTCTGCTCTGCTCTGGTCTGATTTGTTGAAATCTTTTATCGCACGGCAAAACTGTTGCCATGACATCAGCTCGGCACGAGTGCCCACTTCCACTCCCACTTCCACTCCTACTCCCACTTTAGAAGGCGTGATCCTATGAAGAGGTGTAGTGAGCGGAAGGTGGCAGGAGGGTGGGGGACTGTATATTAGGTACAAGCGCCGCTCGCTAATTGTCCACACCTCATGTCAAACGCCTGAGCATCGTTTGGCGCTTGTCGCTTGTCAAACGTGACCAGGAATAGCTGAAGCAGGAGCAGAAGTAACAGGCTCACACTGCAAGCTTAGAGCTGGACTCGTGCCATGCAAACTGTCAAATGGCTTTGCAGAGTTCTGGCAAAAAAAAACATCGAAACATCGTTGGTTCAATTTATGCGATTGCTATTTTCATGGGGCTTAACTAGATGCTTCTTTATTTCTTGGCAGTTTCTTTTCTTAAATGTGATTTTTCTTGGATGCTTTTTTTCTTTGGATCTTTTTCCTGTATCTTTCTTTTGTTGGATGCTTCTCTTCTTGGTTGTTTCATTTTCTTGGATGTTTCTTTTCTTGGATGGTTCGTTTCTTGGATGGTTCGTTACTTGTATGCTTATTTTCAGACATTTCCCCATAATTTCCCAATAGTCAATATCATATTTGCTAGTTATCGGAAAAGGCTTTCAAAATTAATATTCTAAGCTAAGCTATAAAAATGATTAACATTCTTTTATAAATCGAACATTTTTGAGAATTATCGCTTAATTGGTATCAAATATTCCGATACATCAAAGCATCGATTATTTTCTTGTCGAGTTTCCACGCTAATATCGGACTATTTAACATAGTTGTGGCGTCTGCGATTAATCGGTATCGAATTTTCCGTTACATCAAAGCCTCGATTAGTTGCATGGCTAGTTTCCATGTTAATTTCGAACTATCAGTTCCCAGTTGTCGCAAGTGTTGAACGTGACTCACGCCGACATCGCCAGCCCTGTCAACCTCAATTCCGACCCCTACTCACCTTGCCATTGGTCACGAGCAGCGCATTGACTGGGTTCAGCTTGATGGTGCGCGCCTTCTTCCAGTTGCTGTCGGCGGGCTGTGTATAGAGCAGCTTGCCCTCCATGGCGAAACGGACCTCATCATGATTCCACTCGAGTATGTCGATGGCCATTTTGCGCAGCTTGATGTTTATCATATCAATTTCGCACGAGGCGCGCCGATTGGGACTCGAGGAGCTGATGCGGCGCCACAGTTTGGTGGGGACATCCTTGGCCTCCTGGTTGATGTGATTCAAATGCAATTCAATTTTCTCCTGCGCCTGTTTCAGCAGCTCACGTCCGTCCAGATGGGCGGGCGTCACCTTATACAAACGCGCCAACAGCAATGGATACTTGGTGACACGCTGCACGGGCACCTGGAGGATGGGTGACAAGCAGAGAGAGAGAGAGAGAGAGATGAGAGAATAGGAAACAGACGTTTAGGGGCCAGTCATGAATATAAAAGATGAGGAGAGGAACTTACCATGAGAAACGAGTTGAGATTCATGCGACGCAGCACGGCGTTCTCCATTTGGGATACCTTGAGGAAGATGCGCAGCAGCTCCTTCTCCTTTTCGAGATTCGCCAGCAGCAGGCTGGCGCCCGCCTGCCGCACACAGTAGCTCTCGAAGGCGTGCAGCATTTGGGTAAAGTCCAGAAAGATGCGTCCAATATTAACCGTGAGCAGATCGTCGTCGCCCTGCTCCAAAGCAATGTCGAGGGCATCGCGCATACGCTCGGCCAGCGTCTGATTGTTCTCGAGCAAGTCTTCCGTATTGAGGAAGATTGCGGAGAGCTGCTCCTGGTTGAGCAGGCCGGCCACCAGCATCGGCTGGCAGAACTCCTCCAATATGATTTGCAAGTCGCGGCCATATTTCTCCTCCGTCTCGACAATCTCGGTGATGATCTCCTTGCGCTCGACGCGCTTCTTGCCGCACTTGCGGCACACGAGCGGCGCATACAGGACACCCGCTTCGCTCAGCTGCGTCTCGACGGCGCCGTCGCAATCTTCGCACAAATGCAGCGGACTCACCGCCGGCAGCTGGTACTTGCTGCGCGAGGATTTGCTTGTCTCGGAGCCGACGCCCGAGTCCTGGCGCTCCACATCGCTGCCGCTCTTGCCGCAGATGAAGTTGTGCGGCGGCGGCGACAGGGAGCTCATATTGCTGTGGCTATCGTCGCTGTGACTGACGCGCTTCTCCAGCTCGCTGAGCGTGTCGGCGGCCTCCTCCTCGATTATCTTCGGATTGTTACTGTAGTCGAAGCTCTCTTCGCGCACCAGCCCCCGCTCCTTGGCGTCCACTAAATAGGAGAGTATATCGTATTTGGATGCGCCCTCGAATATCGAGCGCGCCGCTTTCTTGTCCAGCTCGGCGTCGTTCAGCGGCGGTGCCGTCAGCGGCAACGGCGGCGGCACCTCGTTGATCTCTTCGTAAATGGGATCCACCTGATGCCGTATGGACTCGTAATGGTGCTCGGCTTCCGTGTGTGTCGTGCTGTGCTCGATCTCGGCCAGCGTCGCATCCACCAGCAGCTGATAGAACTTGGCGCGCGTAGACGCATCCACCTCCGGTGGGGACACCAGCTCCGGTTCCGGCTCCGGCTCCGTTTGATCCTGCTCCTCCTCGAGTGCTCCGGCAGCTGCCAGTTCGCTGGAGCAGCTCTGATAGCAGTCGGACTCGTTGGCGGCCGTCTCAAAATCGAACAGCTCGTAGTTGTGGGCGGAGGCGAAGCTGTTGGCGGAGCTAATGCTGCCGCGATTCGAAAGCCGGTCGTCCTCCTCTTTGGTGCCGCTCGCCCCCCCGGGCTGTCGCTCCAGGCGCACCCGCTGCAGCGAGACGCTGATCAGCCGGTTCATGTCGTCGTGATCTTTGGTGCCGCTCATATCGATCGTTTGCCGTGTCCGTTGCAGACGCTGCAGCGAGTTCTCGATCAGCTCCGCGACGGTGTCCGTCTCCAGGCCGTCGGCCACCTGGCCCAGCATCGGATCCTGCAGCAGCTTGGCTATAAAGCTGCTCGCCTCCTTGGTGGGCGTGGCAGCTGTTCCTGCTGTCTCCTGCATTTTTTTGCTACGCGTCGTTTCTAGACCGGAGGGCACCCTCAAGCCGCAGACATGCGGTACCAGATTGCGCTTGACAGCCTCAACGGGATTGCGCAGAATTTTCAGCAGCTCCGTCTCGTGCGGTACCAGCTCCGCATCGGGCGAGGGCGGTGACGGCGCCGGCGGCGGCGTCGCTGGCGTTGAGCAGATTGTAGGCGGTGGCGATGGTGTGTTAATGGGCGTGGTTGTGGTAGCCGCCAGCTGCCTGATGGGCAGATCTTTGTCATAGTCGAGCCGGATGAGCGTGCGGCCGCGTCCGCTGGAGCTGCTGCTGCTTGACGTCGAGCTACTCGAGGTAGACGAGATGCAGGAGGCGGAACGCTGTAAATTCACCTCGCCACCAATGCTGCTACGGATGGGAATAATCGCAGCCATATGCTGCTGCTGCTGACTGCGCAGCGTATTCAGTAGATTGTGCTGCTCGATGAGCTCCTCGGCGCTGCTCACGCTGATGCAGACGCCCGTCGCCGTCTGGCTATTGACCACCACGGAGGACTGGTACAGCGGCTGGGCGGCATCTGTGCTCAGGTTCATTGTCGAGTAGCAATCGTCGCCGTTAATCAGTATCGACGTCTTCTTGGGCGCCACATCCGGCCCAACGTCTGTTGACGAGAGCAGCAGCAGCCGTGTGGCCGCGGCTGTGGCATTGTGCTCCAGGGGATGCGCTCCATCTGCTTCGCTATGGGAGATTTTCAGGCGATGCACCTCGCTGCTCTGGTTGAAGGGCGCCACACGGACCACGGTCCTTTGCTGACGTGGAGCAGTTGACTTATTGATTTGCGGCGGCGGCGTTGGCTGCTTCTCTAATCCGTTTGCGGTTGGCGGCGGCGGCGGCGGCTCCGTGGGCCGCCTTTGAAATAAATCTCTCGAGTCGTTGCGGTTGCTTTTCATGCGCAGCGCCATTGTGTCCTTAAAATTTAAAATGACATTCTGCGGCCCACTGGCCGCAGCCAGACTCCGAGCCTGGCCAGGCTGTGGCCTCGACTCGCTGGCGTCGTTGGAGCTGGGCGCGGCAGACAAATGCCTTTCGCTGTGAGCGCGTCTGATGGGATTTCGCGATTGTGTCGTTTGTGCTGCACGCTTCTGACTTGCCCGCGGCCTGCCAACCAGCTCGTGGTCCTCAGCTTCAGCCTGCTTCTGCTCCGACTTCTGCTCCTGCTCCTGCTCCTTGTCGTTGTTATTGTTACTGTCGTTGTGCTCGTCATCATCGTCATAATCGCGATTTGCTGCTGTCGTCTTTTGGGCTCTCGTTCTCGCATTTGTCGTTGTTGTGGCGCCTGCAAAGGAGTAGATGTTGAATCGCGTGTCGCAGCTAGCAAAATGTTGCTTTTGCAAAATAAACCCAAGACAGCCAAAGCAGGCAAGCGAAGGCTTTCAGCTGATGAACGGGTCTCGGGGATCGGGGGTCGGGGGTCGGGACTTGGGTGCAGGGCATTGAAATAACTAAACAGGGTGCTTTTAGAGTGTTGACGAAAGCAAATACTCTATCTTTGAACAGGCTTAAATGTGTCTAAATACATTTTCCTTTATACTGAATCTAACTCTTTACCTTCTTTAACTCTGCGCAAAAAAGGGACACTAAATGATGAATGTGCTAAAATTTATTACCTCTTTTTCTATATTTTTTAAATACTCTTGATTAAATGTTTTTGATGCGTAGTTTAAGCTATTTCCAGGTGGACTCACTTTTACCAACGTTGTTTTTCTCTGAGTGCATTTTTAGCTATTTTATGGCTAAATATGCTGGCTGCAGTTTCATGCATGCAGATTCATATGCCTGCGGCAGCAAATAGTAGCCACTGGTTAAAACAAGCCAGCCCAACCACCCAACCACCCATTCCCCCTGACCCCACCCATGGTGTGCTGCCTCGCCCTGCGCTCTGCGCCCAGCCACGTTGACAGGCACTTAAAGATGTGCTTGCCAGCGATAAGGTGTTTTGTTTTGGTTTTGGTTTTGGTGGCGGCTTCGGCTTTGGCTTCGTCTGCGGCTTTGGCTCTGCCGCTGCCTGCCCCGCTGCCCCCTCAGTTAGCTCCCGCTGCTCGCTGACAATATGTACATATCTTTATTTATGGTAAATTGGGTGATTTACGTTGCGGCCGATAAGCGTTTGCTTTTCAGCGGCTGCCGCTTGCCCCTTGCTCCCTGCCCTGCCCTGCCCCGCCCTGACTTGCCCTGCCCTCGTCTCGTGCTGTCCTGTGTCTGTCCTGTGTGTCCTGCGTTGGCATTTGAATTGCCAGGCAGCTCAAGTCCTTGACTATGCGCTGGGTGCACAAGTCAACGCCGCTAAATGGCATTTGGAATTATTTGGGGCTTTTATACCTTTGAAAGTGGTCAAGAAAGGGTATAATAAGTTGAGACATGCATAGATATAAATCATTTTGATCAGGGCAAGGACAAGGAACTGAGTCGAAGATGCCCGTAATATAATAATATATGTAAAGGCAGGGTATAGGGTATCTTCTGGTCGTACACTCCCGACTAGAGTACTCTACTTGTTTTTGCTGTTCGGGTTTTAGAGCTGATTCAAAGAAGCCCGAAACAGGGTGTGTTTTTTTTATAAAGGATGCTAGGATATTTGTAATAGCAGGGCTTAGGGTATCTCCTAGACGTACACTCCCGACTAGAGTACTCTACTTGCTCTTGCTGTTTGTTTTTAGAGCCAGTACCAAATGGGATGAAAAGACGCGGCTGTCAACGCGGGCAGAGCGCGAGACGCTCAGCTTCAGCTGAAGGCAGCAAACAATTTGTGTCGGAATTAAGATAATAGATTACATTTAAATGTGTTTTTTTGTTGGCGTTGTCGTTGTTTCTTCTTCTTGTCTCAACTGCAAAAAGGGTTCGCACGCGCGTATCTTTTGAAATTTGAGTGGTGCTGCCGACGTCAGCGTCGGCGTCAGCGTCGACCGCAAAAATTGACGTCAAGCCTGCGGGCGAGATAAGCAGGTCTTGGACTTGCAGGACGCGGACAGTTATTGCCCGCCCGTTAACACACACACACACTCACACGTACGCCCACACACACACACATATTTACTCTCTCTCTCACAAGAAGAAGCAGCCCGTCTGCTTATCACGGTCGCCTCTCGTCCATTTTAATGAGTGTGAAAAGTGAGCTGGTTTAATGGCTGAGGTGGGGCCTCAGCTTTGGCCACGTCCAAAGGTGGACATTTTATGTTAATGAGTGTCATCAGCGCGGAGATTGGAGCTGCAGCCGCTGCTTAGCGCACATTAATGATGTACATCTGTCAGATGTGGCCGAGTGGCTGCTGCTTCTTCCTTCGGCTGGCTTCTGTTTTTGGCTTTGGCTTTGGCAGCGAATTGATTATTTGCGGCAAGCACTTGAATTTCAATCGAACCTTTGTGCGCTAATCGCATTTTCTATGCTAAATAGCGACAAATTACAATAACAACAACAACACTAGCGGCAAGGATAACAAGGATAACAACCAAAAGAAGCAGCAGCAGAGACAAAACTACAATTAGAGCTGAGAACAAAAAAATGTTTAGGCGAAACAATGCACAAGCTGAATGCAAAAACGAAATCAACTTTTCCTCTATTTGCTACGCTTTTCCTTTTGGCCTTTCGTTTTGTTGGTTTTGCCCCTTTTTGCATACCCTCAAACCTTAGGCAAGGAGCAAGGAGAGTCTATTGTTTTGGTGTGAAGGTTTGTAACATGCAGAAGGAAACGGTTCCGACAATTGAAATAGTAATTGATTGTACTTGATTGAAATCAAAAACTAGGCGGTTATATAGACATAGAACTTCTATCTAAATCTTCTATCTGGATCTTATATTTAGTTCTTCTATTTAGATCTTCTTAGATCTTCTTTTCAGATCTTCTATCTAGATCTTTAAACTAAATCTTCTATCTACATCCAGAAGGTATCGAATTTATTTTACGTACGTTTTTTTGAGCACAACTCAATAATTAGAAGAGCCAGAATCGTCAAATATATAACGTAAGAAATCTTAGAGTTTTCTCAGCTGCAAAATTTTTCACATTTCGTATACTTCGTTCCACCCAGAATTTGAATCGGCTTTGATCGCCCGTGTGGTTGGCGGGTATTAGAATACCACCACAGCATGTCATCGCTTGTCGTACGTGGCGACTAAAAAAGACACTTTTTCCATATCCTGCCGAACCATTCGAGTCCTTTAGGCGGCAGTGCAAAGGCTGTGCGATGAGCTGGACCCATTGTGAATAGCCATTCCGTTGATAACTAACTGGGCAACTAAAAATGGTGTCACAACGACGACTAGAAATTATTCTGAAGCGGGCGATCTTATACATATTTATAGAAAGAATAAAGAAAATACTTACACACATATGTGTGTAATTTCTAAGCACTGAAACTATTATAAGAATCGGGCAGAAAACAACAAAGTTAATCAAGAATGCATTTTCCATATGTATATAAGGTAAAGGAACGAAGAGGCTACGATGCTGTGTGTGCGTTTGTATATATGCGCTTATGTGTGTGTATACATGTGTGTATACGTGTGTGTGTATATATGTCCTTTAATCGAAGACTGCCTGTTAAACTAGCTGGAATGCTTGCAATTGTAGCTCGCTGCGGGCTACACGGTATCTCCTATTTGGGCATACGCGACTAGAGAGCGCTCCGCTTGTTTTTTGTTCCATTTGTTGTTGTGGCTGCTGTTGCTGTCAGCACTAAATGCCACCTGCTTGGCGCTACTTCAGCGGGAGCTACTTAATGAGATTTTGTTGAAAATTACGCTTGTATTTATTGTTGTTGTTGTTGTTGTCATAGTTGTTGTTGCTGTTGTAATCGGTTGTCTTTGAATTGAAATATTTAATTAACCCCTTTTGTACTTCGATATAAAGATGTGCTCCCAATTGTAAAACATTCGTCAGCTTTTAAAAGCAGCAAAAAGAGAAATGTTGACGCATACGTGATATTTGTGAAGCGCAGAGCTGCAAAAGTTGGCCTCAAATTGAAATTTGTGTTTGGATAATGAGTAAATTGGCGCATTGAAAAGAGGAATTCTTGAACGTCTATAGAGAATATATATCCTTGAGGAGAAGTCAAAAGGCCAGGCCCTGTGTGGCCAAATCCGAGAATCCGTCTAGTTACATGCAAAAGAGTGCTCTGTCTTAAAGGCAACTTGATGAAACGTGGCCAAAATCTATCTCATAAATTCTTCAAGAAATTTGACAGTATTTATTTCAAGGGCAATGCCGGGGTATATCAGATTTTGTCCTATATAGGCACAGTTCAAAATTTCCCATCCCCATAATACGGCCAAAACTCAACCGATTTTCACGAGGATTGGCTTCTTGTTCATTGTTTCTCCTCTTTAATAATCTGGCATTTAAATATGACCACACATTTTTTGGTCGAAATTCATGACCACATTTTACCCCAGATTCCTATATAGACATGGATCAAAATTTGCCACCCCATAACTCAGTCAAAACTCATCTGATTTCTACGAGGTTGTGCTTTTTCTTCATGGTTTTTTCTCTATATTTATCTGGCATTCAAATCTGAACACCGATTTTTTAGTCGAAATTCATGTCCAAATCTTACCTCTAGATTACTATATAGACATGGGTCAAAATTGCCTAATCCCGTAACTCGGTCAAATCTCATCCGATTTCCACGAAGTTTGGCTCTTTCTTCATGGTTTTCCCTCTAGATTAATCTGGCATTCAAATCTGAACACCGATTTTTTAGTCGAAATTCATGTCCAAATCTTACCCCAAGATTTGTATATAGACATGGGTCAAAACTTCCCACCCCCATAACTCAGTCAAAACTCATCTGATTTCTACGAGGTTGGGCTTTTTGTTCATGGTTTTCCCTCTAGATTAATCTGGCATTAAAATCTGAACACCGATTTTTTAGTCGAAATTCATGTCCAAATCCTTCCCCAAGGTTCGTATATAGACATGGGTCAAAACTTCCCATCCCCATAACTCAGTCAAAACTCATCTGATTTCTACGAGGTTGGGCTTTTTCTTCATGGTTTTCCCTCTAGATTAATCTGGCATTAAAATCTGAACACCGATTTTTTAGTCGAAATTCATGTCCAAATCTTACCCCAAGATTTGTATATAGACATGGGTCAAAATTTCCAACCCCCATAACTCGGTCAAATCTGATCCGATCTTCATGCGGTTTGTTTTTTTCTTCATAGTTTTACCTCTAGATTAATCTGACATTAAAATCTGAACATCGATTTTTGAGTCGAAATTCATGTCCAAATCTTACCCCAAGATTACTACATAGACATGGGTCAAAATTGCCCAC